CAGATTTTGGGATCTGATCGCCATCTTCATAAACCAGAGATTGTCCAGGCCGCTTTCCATGACGCAAAAGACCTGCTTCGACGCGTTGCAGAACTCTGGCAAGCCGGGGACATAACTGTTGAACTAGTTTCTGCCGCACACCTCATTCAACCGGAACAGAAGATTCGTGCCATCAGCCGACGGACAGGAGATCACGTTCACGTTTTCATTGTTATCGGTCCTGATCTCGTGGGATACGACTGGACATCAGACATTCGTCGCAACTGTCAGACAATCGCGGAAGCGGTCGTCCAAGCCACTGCAGAGTTCAAACTGGGCCTTTCCCATGACCACGCTCTGATGGCAGAGCTTCTGATTGTGAGCGACCGGCAGGGCGAGGATATAACCTTACCCGAGGGCATCAAGCGTCAGCTGGAAGGCAGCTCGACAGAGCGCGCTAGAGTCCTCAACCACGGACAGCAAGTATTGTTGCGTCACATCCTTCTCGGAATGGACTGCGATCAGGAATGGGACCTTCTTCCTAAAGCTGCGAGAAAGCTGCTCCTCCGTCGAACCTGCGGACAACCATGCCGCGTCAGTCCTGAACAGACTGCCTGGCTCGTCTCCAGAGCAAATGACACGCTTTATCTGGAAGAGTTCATTGCTAGATGGAACCTGGGATTCAAGCTAACAGCTAGCGTGATGTCATTTGCTGCAGCCCAGGAATCCCAACGCCAAACTCATGATCAGCCGGAATTCATGAACACGAAGTACGACAAGCCCATTCGTGATTTGCTCGCACTCAACGAACACACACCCAGCATCGGTTTCGCCGAAGCGCTTCGCCTTTCGTTTGCTCGGATCGTGCACATTTGGAATGCGTGCCTCAAGTTCCTGGTCATCTCCTTGGTAGCGGATCCAGAATATCAAAGAGAGTTAGACTCAATGCTTCGTGGACAGCCCTTGGTGTTTGCCTGGCCAATCAACCTTATCTTGAACGGTGTCTGGGTGACTTGCAAATCCCTACAACGTCTCATAATCCCTTTGGTCTTGTTACATGGACGGGAGAAGGTCTCCACTCTATACCGGAACATGAAGGATTGGAAGACAGTGGTACATCAGGACCGGGTTGTCGTAGAGAGTCTGAGTGGTATCTCGACCGGTTTCTTCCGACACGAAGCAGATGGCACAGTCCAGCTCTACCAATACTCAGGACGTCATGAGCACGAGCCAAGCGATTACAAACAACTCATGGCCATCAACACATACACCGACAAACTTGTGCTCTCACGACGCCAGGAGTACCGTGGTGATACTCTGCTCAATGAGTTCACCTATGAGTATCCACAAGACAATCGGAGCGGGCGGCCAAAGTTGCCCACGCAGCGACAATGTACCCAGGGCGAGCTGAGCGGCCAGATAGTCCATTATGACAAGCGCGGTTATATGACCTCAGGATCAGCCATGCGTGGTGTGAATCGCCTGGAATTCAACTTTTGGTACCGCAAAGGCGCCAAGTTTGAAGACGAGCTGCTGCGCGCCGACTATACTCTGCCACATATCAAGATCCAGGTGGCCTGGTGTATGCCTCCTCCAAACCGACCGGAGAGGCAGGACAAATGGATCCCTTATCCTCGGGTCACTGATGCGACTTTCATCCAAGGAGATGATACCCACAAGGCCAAGTGGACCTACGACCATAAATTCCACCCGATCATCGCAACAACGTTGAACGGTGAAGCTGTGACCACCCCTGCGATGATCCATGAGGACTGGTTCAAGGTATTGCGAAAGCCCACCAAGTGCAGCTTCTTGGATGACAATCCACTCTTTTCCTTTTCTTCTACTAAGGTGAACTTCGTATCACGCTTGCTGGGCTGGAATGTCAAACGATATCCGATCCCCACCTCGCGTGCCCGTACTCACCTCTGGAAGTCATGGAAGGGCAGCAAGGAGTTCGATGCAATCACAGCGCGATGGCTGGATGAGACCATGCTACGGTCTGACCGTGTGCTCAAGCCATACTGGAGAAGACGCAACCTGGGTCAGCTGGAAGCTGCGGCTGATTACCTCGATGCTCAAGCTGATACAGTTCTCGCTCGGGTGGACATTGACCCCGAAGTCAGCTCCTGGACACCGTTAGCTTTTAAGATCAGTGACCTCTCGAGCTTCGGGCAAGGCGGTGATTCACGCATCAACACTCGCACGCTCTCGACCCAGCTACAGGACAGCGACACCGAGCTACACGTCCTCGCTATGGATACCGGCACTTGGCCCAATGAGCCCGGTGGTGTGTCGGCCTGTCGACGCGATATGGTCAACGATCTCAAGGGTATTCGCTGGCACATCGTAGCTGAAGCAGCGAACGACTATGGTGTACCCCGATTCCAGATCGAAAGAAACGTCCAGTCGCTGGCCGTGCTGCCCCAGTGGGGCTTGGACTTCATGAATCCCACCCATGGCATGTTTCAGAACACACTCGACTCGGAGGTGGTGCAAAAGTCTTACGATACGAGGGTTGCGGATATCGAACGCAACTTCCTACCAATCCTAACCAGCCTCGTTCGTTGTGCGCGATCCATGAACAAAACCCGGGCGCTCATCGAGGAAGCCACCAAGGCTTTGGTAGATCTCAACACATATTTCGAATCGACTCGGAACTGGAATGACGTCTGGATGAGTGACACAGTGAAGCACGCCTGGCGGGAATTATGGCTGACCGAGGACATGGAAGACACAATCCCCGTATCAGAGTGGTGGAACTGCGAGTACCCGACCCTCCAGCAACTGGATACGGCTTTGGACATGTGGCATCGCTGTGAGTTAGCCCCCAGTCCGAGTATTATGACTACGCTGACGTTGAATACTAGACCTTTTCATTTTCTCCATCCCCGTTCCCGAACGGATTCCCGACGTTTTCCAGGTGTCGCATCATTTCACCGGCGCCACGTACGGCGTGATGTGTAAAGTCAAGCGCAAATGTGCCCTCCACGTGTGGGATCACTGTGTCAGCTTCCGAGAAATGACTACCTTCCTGTCGGCCGCTGTTTCCTTCGACTCGACGTTCGTAAACTCGTCACTCATTTCCTTGGGTCACCTCGCTTGTATCCTCATCGAACACCACGCGGACGTTGTGCTGCCCTGCGCCGAGTATTTTAATCCTGGCTGGGAAATCGAACTGGGCACGTGTGAAGGCGTTTTAGAACATCGTCGGGCCTTCCAGCGCAAGATTGATCCGGTAGTGAACGGAATCACGAACATGGAGAGGTATAAGCCCATCGAGAAGATCAAGACCGAAACACCCACGGTAGTGATGTTGTCGCATATTCGGTATGTATCTGCTTTCCTAATTTTCGCTTGTGAAACTGTGGAGTAACCCATATAATAGTTATGTCAAAGACATCAAGACAGCCATCATGGCTACAGACCTGATCGTCAACCAGTGGGGCTTCAAAGACTACCGCCTCCACATTTATGGCGATATGGAACGCGCTCCTGGATACGCGTCGGAATGTCAGGAGATCATTGCCTCCAAGTCGCTTCGAGATCACGTTGTTCTGAAGGGATTAGGCAACCCTTCTGTTGTGCTTCAAGATGGGGTAAGTCATTCGACGTTACAATGTAGCACAGTTTTCGATCAATGCTAACCTTATTTAAAGTGGCTTTTCATGAATTCATCCACTTCCGAGGGTCTTCCCTTGGCGATGGGAGAGGCCGCACTTACGGGTGTTCCTGTGGTATGCACTGATGTCGGTGCCTCATTCTGTGTTGTCATGAACCGCGACACGGGCAAGAAGTTCAGTGAAGTCGTTCCCCCGAACGACGCCTTTTCCCTTGCATCGGCCCAGATACGGGTCATGGCACTTCTTGGAGAGTGGAGCAAATTCGCGGGTGATGAGGAGGGCTACGTGCCCCCATCTCTGGGCTTGCGTCCATCTCCGGAAGAGGTGCAACAGATCTCCCAGCGTATGTACGAGAAGGTGGAACAACGACGCCAGTTTGGTATGCAAGGTCGGGCGAACGTGCTCAAGAGCTTTTCCAGTCACCGGTATCTCCGCGAGCACGAGCAGATGCTCTGGCTGGGCAAGTACCAGAGTGAGAGCTTCGTAGCCCGTTCCTCCTTGTCCTCCAGCGGGTCCAGCGGGTTCTTCAAAGAGCGGGTCACGGTCGAGCAGATCAACGAGCCTTTATTACCTCCTACTCCTCGGTGGCCAGGTGCCCGGCGGGAGTCGCGCCGTGGCTACTTTGGGTACAGCTCATCCAGTACCCAGTCTCTTTGTTGATGAAAATGACATTTGAATGAGGGCGCATTTGGAGAAAGGAGGTATCGAGTGAGTGAGGTCAGGAGTTGTACATAATCCCTTTTCCTGTCATCCACTAGTACTTAGTCTTAATCAACATAATGTTAATAGACCATTTGGTACATAATCCTGAATTGGAGATTGGTAAAAGAGACATTGAGTGCGCGGAAGAGACCGGTTACCTGGCATGGGGGAAATGGCTCATCTGATTGTAGATCGTAGTGCTTAATGGGAGGACCATGTGGAAAGTGAGGAAAAGGATGAGCATAGAAAAGAGAAGGAATGACCCACGTGTATCTTCATTCACGCCCGATCAGGTGATACGCAGTGTAAAGGAAATTGGCCTTGTTTCTCAGGTCATCTCTCCAGATCTACAGCGGAGAAACAACACCGCTAAAGAACTCCGGAAGTCATCACAGTAGTGAAATCTCCTATGCGCTCTGGACCCCTACATTACTCATGTTTCACAAAATACTACTTAATGCTCATCTTACTGAACAGGTCCAGGGAGAAGCACAGATACTCAAGATTACATAGAACGCTTTCAATTCCGCGTCAAGCTTCTACTACTTAACGTTTCATCCCCGAGTACCAACCTAAGATTAACTAAATATGAACAACAATTAACTGCAGACCATTATGTACTTGGTCCACGCTAGTATACAATCCTCATGATCCGAAGAAGGCGGGTCTGCGCCCGTCTCAATTCCTGCAAGTCCCTCAGTCAGCGAAATTCGAACTAGAATAATCGAACCCACACAAGATCCAGAAAAGAGACAAGGAGCACAAGGATTGGAGAGTAACATACAGAAGTTGGAGCGTAAGATCTCCGTGGATCTTAGCCTTAAGCTGTACCTCAACGTCCAAATTCAAGTCTAGACGCAGGCGAAGCTGTTCGTCCTTCTTCTTCTCAGTCTGCTGCTGCCCCTGCTGCTGGAGTTGAGTGTCATTTCTCCCTCCCATGATGCTTCGTCCAAGGGCCTTTCCCGCCGTGTTGCCGAGCGTACCGACAGCTCTGCCGGCGGTGTTCTGGGCCAAATCGCCAACGCCTTGGGTGAGGTTCCCTGGTACGTCCCCTACATTCCCCAAGGCAGGCAGCGCCAGCGCCTGTTGCTGTTCACGTTGCTGACGTCTCATATCTCCTCGCTGGCCGCGTCGACGGGCCTGTCGATAATATGCGTCTGCGCTGGCAGGGGACGATGATGAGGGAGAGGATATTTGCTCTGTCACTGATATAACGGATCGCTGGCGTTGCAGTGGCTGCTGCTGTTGCAGTTGTGGCTGCAGCTCTCCTTCGCTCCAAGATACCGATTGAGTCTCCCGGTCGAGTTGTGTTTCTTCCGTATCTGGAGACGGATCCATAGTTTCAGTTGCTTCTGGTGCTTCTGGTGCCTCTGGTGTCTCTGCTACTGCCGTTTCACCCGCTTCATCTGCTTGATCTGCTTCTGCTGGCGGCTTTTCAGATTCTGGGGGAGGATCCAACGCCTTTGATGTTTCCGGTGGACCACCTCGTCGCTGGAGCTTTCGAGGCTTTCGCACCCGCTCAGGATTCGAACTAGAAGGCACGTTCTTTTGTGCGTCGATGGCTGGACTCTGTTCTACAGCGTTTGCCATTGGCTAGGTAATGAACTGTAGATACGCTCGACGGGATATGTTGGGTGGCGCGATGAGTGGATTGATGATTATATAGAATAAATAGTAGTTGTTTTCCACCCAAAATTGAGGTCCCCGAATGGCGAAAGACAATATCGATTTGTTAGGTGTGAGGCGAATGTGAACTGATGTCATGGTCCAATCCCAAGGGGCGATACGATGCCATCCGGGGTTCCCCCTTCTTGCGTTCCAGGGTTTTGGATCTTCCCTAGAGTGGACGCGCATTCGAATTCCCTTCATTTATCGGGTCAACCCGTGATGATGGAATTATTGAATACATTTTATAGGCCTTAGCAAATTATTGTTTGGTAGTCATGACCCACTGTGCGGTCATCGGTGTCGCGCTGCGATTGTACCTTCTGGACTCGGCGCGTACATTCTTTGCGTAGTTCGCCTCCGCGATCGTTCTATACATTAATATCTACTCCTTCTCGACTTTCCTTTCTTGGGATCTTTATTAACCATAGCACCCCATCAGTGCGACGAGCTTGATACCTCAACGACGACCGCAAGAAAAACCATTCCCAGTGATCAACAGAAAGAACAGCGAAGAACCAGCAACGCCCAGATCACCATGGCCCAACCCGCTGATCCGCAGCCAGCACCAGCTCTACCAGTGAGAACGCAGGAGCGCCAACGAACTCGGCGAAAGAGAGGAAATGAGCTCGACGATCGTGTTCCTCCAAATACTTCAACTGCACTACAACCATTGCGACGCCAAGCATCGCGTTCAACCTCTCCCGCCACTGATGCAGAATCCGTCGTGACAAGGGAACAAGCCAGGCAAAGAGCAAGGGGTGACCTAGCGAAGAGAGATCCGGCTGGGCAGGAGATGACCCAGCCGTCGGAGGAAGAAGATACTGGGCTTAAGTTACGGCTGGAGTTGAATCTGGATGTTGAAGTCGAATTGAAGGCGAAGATTCATGGTGATCTTACGCTAGCATTGCTGTGAGTTTCCTTATTTTCTGAGTTCTTCAGCACTTTACCCTCAGAGTTTGCATGTATGCGGAGTACTAATTCCGTGCAGGTCCTAGGCAATGGAGCAGGCTGTTTTAGATGATATAATTATGAAGGTTAATCCTTTGATATTACATATATCTCACCGAGTCTACGGTTCACAGCATGTATATGGCAGCGTCATAGCATTTACCTTGAGAGAGCACCATTCGTTCAAGTTACGAAAGTCATATGGTAGATTCAACTAGCGCCCACTCAGTAGACGATGAAGAGATCGATTATCAATAATAACCATACTTTTAAAGATTAACCCGATGTGGGAGGGTACTAATCCATGGACAGTCCGCATCGACGACCAGAGCCCTCGGGTCTCAGATCGCAGCTGCCTGCTGCCCACATCCATGCTCCTCCTGGTTGACAGCTCGTACATTACAAAATATCATTGCTGTGGTAACAGCGGCAAAGCTTTTCAGCTGAACTCTACTCAGTCAACTAGATCATATTCCTCTGATTCACACCGTGGCACTGGAATTGCATGTTCGCTGCCCATTGTGGGGAGTAGTCGGGCCACTGAACCGAGCCCTAGCACGCATTATCGAGTTGAACCTTAATCCTCGATATCATACATGGTCACCATTGATGTAAACCGTGATAATTTAGGACTTATGTTGATCAAGTAACTTCCATCCGAACACACGCCGACCAAATCAATCGTAGTCTTGTAATACATGGAAACCATGACAAAGGCATCTGTCCCTATTCGCTATGCGGCTCTCGCCGACGGTAAACGCAAGTATATACGGAAAGTCGGAGTCAGTTGTTCAATAAATGCGGGGAAGGTTTGGTATCACTAACTCCGAAGATGATCAGGTAGTCGTAGCCGATTTGTTTCCTCACTATCCCATGGTTTCTAAAGCGCCACTCACCCGCATATCCACAATGTGGAGGGCGACATGGCTTCTAGCAGGCCTTTTGCGGTCGCCGTCTCGTATTTCTCGGTACCTGGTGATCAGATCGGAATGACGTCTGAGTGATCGTGCTGATGTGAATCTGATCGATCATTACAAACCGATCGACGATCAGTCGATGGAGCTATGTGATATATAGTTACTGGAGAAGCTTTGAGGTTCTGTAGTGAAGTTGACTAGCATAATCTCTGACTACTGTTGCCTCTGGCATATTGTCTACATTTTTCCAATCAGACAGATCACAGACGCCAAGGGAAAGTTCTGAAATCCATTTCTGTACGGTATTGGCGCAACCACCGACGAAAAACAAACAATGGCGGCTACCCAAGAGGATGCAAGGCAGGTGGAGTCGCTGGGAAAAGGAGATACTTTCAAGAAACCGTCTGCTATACGCAAGAAGGTACCTCCGAAGCTTGCCAAGCTAGATAAGAAGGAAAAGGTGGATAAGCCCACTTTAGGTATGTTGGCCAGCCGTGGACTAGGCTTAGAAATCGGCATCTAACGTTCGATAGATGAGAAACCAGAGGAAAAAGTGGAGACTAAAAACGTGGGAGATGTTGGTGCTGGTAAAACTCCTGAAGCGGGGCTAGAAGAACAGGTCGGACAGGTGGAGGACAAAGTAGGGCAAGAAGGAGAGGAAGCGGAAGAAGAGCTCGAGGGTGAGGACATGGAGGATGAGGAGGAGGAGGGGGAGGAAGAGTTGGAGCAGCAACGTGGGCCTGTCGAACAAAGAGAAGCCATGCCATCAGACACTGCGGCAGGTTCTTCGTCCACCGCGGGGCTAGCGGACAAGGGCAAGGGAGCAGCCGTGCAACTGGGCCGGATCGGGGAAGGCACTGAATCCATGAAGGATCAGGTCCCCGCTGAAATGCCGGATCAAGTGCAAGAGAAGGCTGGAGAAGGCGTACAAGAGCCTACCGAAGGAGTGGTTGAGCCCGAGAAAGAAACTGATCTCGGAGATGGCATACCAGAACCACCAGATGTATCGGAAGTGAAGGAAGCTGCAGTGAGCATTGGAGACCTGAAAGGCCTTTCTGTTGGTGAAGGCGGAAACATTGTCAATGCAGAGGGGAAAACAATCGGAAAGGTTGTTGAGGGGGATCCTGATGACCTTGTTGGTCAGGTTGTTGATGCCGATGGAGAGATCCTGGACGAGGACGGGGACTTGATCGGTCGGGTTGATGTCGTGACTGAGAAAGTCGATGAACTGCCACAGGCCGATGAACTTCCCGAGGCCGAAGAAGTGGCAGAACTGCCGCAATTACCGGATATATCGACTCTCGAAGGCCTAAAATGTACGAAGTTCGGCAGTATCTTGGATACTCAGGGTAACCTAGTTGGGGAGTTGGTTGAAGGCGATGCAAAAAGGATCTTTCGAGGAGGCTTTGAGCTTGACGATAAGGGCCAGTTCTGGGACCACCGCGGTAATGTCATTGGCAAGGTACAGCCTGTTCTACCAGAGGCGGAAGAAACCAGCATCTTCGAAGGAATGAAAGATTTGTATGTTGACAAGGAGGGATGGGTGCTAGATGACAACGGTCAACGCGTTGGACAGGTAGTTGAAGGGGATGTTAAAAAGCTCGCAGGCCGCGCGGTTGACGAGGACGGCGACATTCTCGATCGGCATGGAAACCTGCTCGGTCACGCAGAACCCTGGCAGGAGCCAGAAGAAGTTGCGGACGAGGTAACGGAGGAGAAGCCGGATCTCAGTTGTCTGGCAGGGCTTAAGCCCACCAAGCTTGGCCTCGTGATTGGGCCGGACCAAGTGCCTCTGGGCAGAGTCGTTGAGGGCGATCCCAAACAGCTTGCCGGCCGAACCATTGCGCCGGATGGTCTCATTTGGGGCGACAACGGGGAGGTCATTGGGCAGGTGGACCTGATCCCCGAGAATGAGCGAAAAGATCTCAGCCGGCCATTCCAGGGATGCACGGACCTGATGGTGAATGGATCTGGTTGGGTGGAGGATGGCGACGGGAACATCCTGGGTCGTGTGATCGAAGGGGATCCCCAGAAGCTCCAGGGATATGATGTCGATGAGGATGGAGAAATTGTGGACCAGCATGGGACTGTCTTGGGGCGAGCTGCACCATGTGAGCCCCCTGCCGAGGAGGTGGAGGTACCCGATCTGTCTGCATTAGCTGGCAAAGTGGTAAACAAGATGGGCAATGTCGTGGACACGAACGGAGTGGTATTTGGACGGTTGGTGACAGGTAACCCTCGAAAGTTGGCGGGCAAATCCGTGGATGAGCAGGGTCAGGTCTGGGATGCTGCGGGCCACGTTGTCGGCCAAGCCGAACTCATTCCCGATGCCGAGCGAGAGCGGCCAGAGGGACCATTCAGCGGCCTAGATGGCTTGACGGTGAATAAAGAGGGACAGGTTGTCGACCCGAACGGCACACCGGTTGGTCGTCTAGTCGAGGGAGACCCTAAACGCCTTGCTGGGCGCGCCGTGGACGATGATGGAGAGGTCCTTGACTCGGCTGGGAATTGCATTGGCAGGGCTGAACCGTGGTCTGCCCCAGAAGAACCGCCCAGTCCCATGGCTGGCCGTAAGGTTAACCGGGAAGGAGAGGTCCGCGATGAAGATGGCAATCTCATTGGCAAGCTCACTCAGGGAGAACTGTCGAACCTCATCGGCCGAACGATTGACAAGGATGGCTATGTTGTGGACAGTGCCGGCAATAGGATCGGGGAATGTACCTTGCTGGAGAATATACCCCCAGAGCCAGAGCCCGAGGAACCGGAAATGTCCCCCGAAGAGCGCGAGCAGCTGGCTCGACAGGAAGAAGAGAATGAGCTGGCCAAAAAGATGTGCTCAATTGTTCAGCAAGCTCTGGACTCCTTGGAACCCATGTGTCGAATGATCACTCAGGTATTCACCCATCCATTTGATGAGCATACTTCTAATAGGAACACTTTGCTGACGCTGATCCGAACAGCATATAGAAAAGGCCAATAGTACACCCAAGGATGAATTGGATGAAGAAGCACTGGTCAAGGAGGTAAAACCGTTGATCGAAGAGGCTGGCACCATTCTGCAGGAGTGTAAAGGAGCCCTGCGAGCGTTGGATCCGGATGGCCACATTGCTGCCAACGCCAAAGCCCGCAGTGCCTCCCAAGAAGCCACTCCACAGGAGCATCATCTGGCGGAATTACTGAAGGATTTGACACAGCTAGTGACGGAGACGATCGAACGGGGTAAGAGTATGATTGCCGACATGCCCCATGCGAAGAAAGAGATCAACCCGCTCTGGGCGCTGTTGTCCGAGCCGTTGTTCCAGATCATCGCGGCCGTCGGTCTCTTGCTCAGTGGCGTTCTGGGTCTTGTGAGTAATCTTCTGAATGGTCTGGGTCTGGGAGGCCTTCTTCAAGGGTTGCTCGGTGGCTTGGGCGTGGACAAGCTCCTGGAGGGTCTGGGACTGGGGACCATCACGCAGGGGATCGGGCTGGGTGGAAAGAAATAGTGCTGTATATCTCTGAAATCTGAAGGCTCGATATGTGTTCGATCGGGCGTTTCTGTGTCTCTTTAGTGACTGGTTTTTTTGCTTTGGGGAACAGCAGAAAATGAGGTGGAAGTGGAGGGCAAAAGGATGCGGGAAGTCTGTTTTAGGGATGCCGAGCGGCCGTAGGAAGTGATTTCCGGCGGTTGGCCCTGATATACGCAAGGGCCTCGTCAAGAGGTGTAATATCATCCAGTCCTTTGATGTGATATTAACCGCCAGCACAAGATATGTATGTCACATGAAATGCACTTATCTCTCCTGACTGATAGAGCAGCGCGCCAACTAGTAGCAATGACATCAACTTACATGGCAGCCTTGTGGGAGTGGCTCAGCACTGCCCCTTCAGCTCAACAGCAAGACACTCGCTAGATGCACTAGGCAGTGAATGCAAGTCGAGCTTTCCCAACAGCCACCCAGAACCATTCCATGTGTGATTCCAGTTCCTTTTCTGTTGGCTTCACTGACTGACGTGGGCCAATGGTGTTGCTCAGCCTGGCACAACCCAGAGTGAACCGCCGCAGCGACGCGCCCACAAGGCGCTTTCCTTCTCTTTCCCCTCCCATGGGCTCTCTTATTGCACAAGGCTGAGGCAGCTAGTGGTGCCAGCTCAAGAGCTCTTTCACCTTGACCCTTCAGAATTATGAGCTATTAGTACCCGTTTTCTACTTTCCTTTTGGTTTTGTTGAGTTTGTGTTACTCTTTTGTATCGTTGAACCTCGCCATCTCCCTCGCCATCGTGGTACTTTCCAAACTGCACCTGGATATCTCCCTTCGCATATTCTCAACTTCAAATCAACTGGTTCATCGGCTACCCTACCTTCTGGATCGGAAAGTCACCTCCTCTGTTATTTTGAAGAAAGATACAGATACCCATCTACATCGTGATGGCCAACCAGAAGTGAGTGCAAGTCACTCACAGGCAATCTATACGGAAGAATCACTGACTTATCAGCACCAGAATCTGTCGCGATTTTGCTCGAGATGGGAAATGCAAGTTTCGACGCTGCAAGTTTTCACACGATACTTCCCGCGACAACAACCGTAATGCGCCTCGCCTAAACACGAAGAGACCCGAGCCACCAGCTAGCGAGAGCGACTTTCGTGCCTGGAGACGAAACTTGTGGGACCCCAACCGGGACTATCCATTGGGGCATCGGCTTGGAAGCTTTCTGCGGGAAGCACAACGATTGATCGATCAAGATGTCGGGGTGCAGCAAGAGGTGATCCGCGCCCTGGCCGAGGAAGGCGGCTTGAAGCGCATGAAGGAGTTGATCGACGACAACATCCTGGCAGCCCGGTCCTCTACACAGAAGTCGGTCATTCTTGATCAGCAGGTGGTGCCTTTTCTGAACATCGTAACGCATCCTGGTGTGCGGAACTCTCTGGTTCTCGAGCAGGCTGTTGGTACGATCTATGCTTTCCTCTATGGCTTGGCGGGCAGACGGGCACTGGACCTGCTGGGCTTCCTGGCAGACATGCTACCGTACAACAAGGACCAGGTCACGGAGAATCAGACCAACCGCCTCGAAATGTCTCTCCTGACATTCTGGCACATACTTGAGCTGAATTCAGAGGCGTACGTCCACGAGGGCCTCAAGCTATTGGCCAACCGCTTCCAGTCCATCGTGAAAGATCATGAAGTCTCGCAGGCGCAAGGTGCTCTGTACAATGTCAGGGTCTACTTGCAAAGAATTCTGCATCGACTCAGTATCGGTGCAGCACTTCCAAGCATAGCTTCCTCTGGACAGCCCACCCCTGAGAGCGACAAGCTTCCCTCGTCATTCATCATCCACCGCACTCCCCCGGGGGGCCGCCACAACAACGATTCGGCGGACATCTGCGACATTCAGATCCTGCCCACATCTGAAGAGATCCTGTCCCCGCACACCGAGTATCTTCCCGTGAAGGACCCTCGACAGTGGCATATCAGCGGTGTCGCCGGGCTCCTGGACCGCAACTTCCGATTGCTCCGTGAAGACACGGTCGGGCAGTTGAGAGACGTCATACATCATCAGCTTCGCCCCGAAAATACAGCACACACTAGACAGGGTAACCAAGTCCGGACGTACGCATATCTGAACGTTAAGGTGGCTTCCTTGTCCTTTGATCGACATGCAGGGCTCCAGTTTACGATCCGATTCCGTCAGCTTGCGCAGGTGCAGGGACTGCGTGACAAGCAGCGTGAGGAATGGTGGAGCCAATCTAGGCGCCTACAAAGTGGCGCCCTTGTATGCCTCATCGATAAGAGTGGAGGAGACGTACTGTTTTGTACGGTAGCTGAGCCACCCAGGTTGCCGCCCGGCACACCTCAGCCCAGGGATTCCCCGTCTCTCTGGAAGGAGAAAGATGTCTCAACCGTCGCTTTGGAATTCGTCGACCCTACAAACCATCATGTGCAGTTCGTTCTGGATCGTTATCGTCCGCGTGGCGCAGTCTCTCCCGTCACCCTAGTGGAGTTTCCCGGCATTCTGCTACCAGCCTTTGCTCCGACATTGCACGCGCTCCAAAAGATGAAGCGAAGTGAAGACCTGCCTTTCGCGAACCTGCTGGCTCCAGCGTCCTCCGAAAATCCGGACCAGGTGGCAGAAGTGCCTCCGCCAGCGTACGCTCTCAAGCCCGGGTTCAAGTTCGATCTTAGCTGCTTAATGACCGACGAGACCGAACTGCATCTCCGTCCCGGCCAGGCTTTTGACTTGGAGAAATTTCAACAGAAGTCGATTCTTGATCCGGCTCAAGCCGTGGGCCTAATAAACACCCTTCAGCACCAGGTAGGTCTCATCCAGGGCCCTCCAGGCACAGGGAAGAGTTACACTGGAGTTGCCTTGATCAAAGTGCTGCTAGCCAATGCGGCCAAAGCCAAAGCCAATATTGGACCGATTATCTGCGTCTGTTATACCAATCATGCCCTCGACCAGCTTCTTGAAGAGCTGTTGGAAAAGAAGATTACGACACAGATCGTCCGAATTGGATCGCGCTGCAAGTCCGAACGCGTCGAGAAATACACCTTGAGCAAATTAGCCGACAGGCCTCCGCAGACCAAAGTCGAAAAGAGTTCGATGTATCACCTCTATGTTCAACTCGAGGAGTGTGTAAAGGAATTCGATGCTCTACGATTATATTCAGAAGGATCCGAGGCTAACTTAAAGCGGTTTCTGGAGCGCCATAACCCCAGTCATTATCGCCAGCTTTTCAGCAACGACGAGGAGGGATGGATAACTGCGACGTCAAAGAAGGGCAATAATGCATTTCGGCAGTGGATAAACAGAGGAATTAAGTCGACGGAGAAGCCCCGATCTATCGGTATCCTCGAGAATATAAAACTCGAGCAAATGAGCGTGAAGGAACGGCAAATGATCTATGAGCACTGGCTCACGGAGAATAGACGTCAGAAGCACGACAAAGCTAAGAACCTGGTGCATGAACAAAAGAGGAGCAAGGAAAAACTGAACGATGTTCGACACGAGGTCGATCTGCGATGTCTCCGACAGGCACAGGTTATCGGGGTTACGACTAGTGGCCTCGCTCGAAATCTCAAGATGCTTCGCCGCCTTCAGTCCAAGGTAGTGCTGTGCGAAGAGGCTGGAGAGGTGTTGGAGGCTCATCTCCTGACAGCCCTTCTGCCTTCCGTCGAGCATGCCATACTCATTGGAGACCACCAGCAACTTCGCCCGCAGATTCAAGACTACAACCTTTCTCGAGAGAACTACCGAGGTGGTGAACAGTACTCTTTGGACCAATCATTATTTGAGCGACTGGTTGAACCCGGCGAGGATGGCCCAGGGGTGCGGATGCCGTTTAGCACGTTGGAAACGCAACGCAGAATGCATCCTTCCATCGCACAGCTGGTCAGAGACACTTTGTACCCTCGCTTAGAAGATTCTCCCTCTGTTTTGGAATACCCGGAGGTATGCGGGATGCGCCAGAGGCTGTTCTGGTTTGATCATCAACACCTCGAAGCCGACAATTCCAGCACCGATGCGGTAAACACCTCACACTGGAACGCGTTCGAGGTGGAGATGACCACCGCACTAGTCGCTCACTTGATCCGACAAGGCTGTTATAGAGCGGGAGAAATTGCTGTCCTGACCCCTTACCTGGGACAGCTCCATCGGCTACGGCGTCGGCTCAGCGAGTCGTTTTCGATCGTCCTCGGCGATCGTGACCAGGATGATTTGGAGGCGGCAGGACTAAATGAATCAGACGCAGGTAATACTCCGGTGTCTCGATCAAATGCACTACAGACCGTTCGTGCAGCCACCATTGATAACTTCCAGGGTGAGGAAGCCAAGGTTGTGGTAATATCATTGGTCAGAAGCAATGCCCAGAGACGCTGCGGGTTTCTGCGCACCTCTAACCGCATCAACGTTCTGCTGTCCCGTGCAAAGCACGGCATGTATATCATAGGTAACGCTGCTACCTCGATGGATGTACCGATGTGGCGCCAAGTCGTGGGGATCTTGAAGGATAAGGACAACTTTGGCGCCCAGCTCAAGCTACAATGCCCACGCCATCCAGAATCCCCTATTGCTGTTTCGGAGCCCGACCACTTCGTGCAATTCTCCCCAGAGGGCGGCTGCAATCAGCGCTGTGCCAACCGATTGCGATGCGGTCATGCCTGTAAGCAGAAATGCCATTCGACACTGCTCCATGATGCGGTCTACTGCCAGGAACCTTGTCCAAGACCTTTGAAGGGATGCGATCATGCCTGCCCGAAGCACTGTGGCGACAAATGTCCCCAACAATGCCAGGTGATCGTGTTCGACGCCAACCGGAAGCTCAGATGTGGACATGCTGCAGTGGAGCTCCCATGTTGGCAGGCGCAAGATCCGACGCAGGTTAAGTGTCCAGTGCCTGTGGTGAAGCAGGTGCGCGGGTGCAAGCACACGGTGACAGTGCCCTGTCATATCAACGTCGAGGATTCCACGTTTAATTGCCCAGCAGTGTGTGGAGCCATTCTGGCCTGCGGACATCCTTGCCGACGCAAATGCTGTCAGTGTACTCGGTATGATGGGGACAACAATGCTCAAGTCAACCATGGCCGATGCGAACAGCCGTGTGGTCGCAATTACTCGACGTGTGCACATAGCTGTACTCGGATCTGCCACGAGCCGGAGTCCTGTCCTCCGTGTGAGGCCCGTTGCGATGTTCATTGTGGCCATTCCCAGTGCCCCAACAAGTGCTGTGAGCCCTGCGTTCCCTGCGCCGAGACTAAATGCCCATCGTCGTGTCCTCACGGTTCATGTACGCTGCCCTGTGCGGCTCCTTGCGACAATGTGCCTTGCTCCAAGCGCTGCGAGAAACTTCTGCCCTGTGGCCATCAATGTCCCTCTGTTTGTGGCGAGATTTGTCCGCCAGCTCCTTTCTGCCAGATATGTGCTGCTCCAGAGGTCAAGGACCGCGTTGTTGATTTTATACTCGGCGAGGCATATCGGGAGATAGACCTTAATGAAAACCCCTGCATCTTTCCTCGATGCGGACATTTCTTGACCATGGAGAGTATGGATGGCCAGATGGACATGAAAGGACACTATGAGTTGGATGCCGACGGTAAACCAGTCGCGATCACCGAGTCATCCAGGCCATTTTCCGTCGAGGACGTCAAAAGATGTGCCACCTGCCGGGGATCTTTACGGGATATTTCTCGGTACGGTCGGCTGGTACGTCGGGCCATGTTGGATGAGGCCACAAAGAAATTTATCTTGTACCTCAACAATGAATACGTTCCAATGGCCCAGGAACTGCCAAAGCTGGTTACCGCCCTACCTGAGGCCAAGAATTTGGCTGGGTCGCTGGCAATGTTCCAAATCGGTGAAGCCATCCGGGTTGATGGTTCTGGTAACCAACAAATCAAACGCTTGGGGGATCTCATGAAGAAGAACAAAATGAATCGCTGGGATGGACTCCTCCAATTGAGGAAGCGCATGGTCAAATACTACTCCAGGGTTCAAGTCGAAGAGCAACCCTTCAGTCGCGTTCAGTACCTGGTGGAGCATGCACGGCGGCAGAAAGAATCCCAGGGGACGTTCAAGTTCAATGAAAGTGTGTTGCAAACGAAGGGTGTTTTGCTAGCACGAGCACTTCTCATCCGGTTAGACATTGCACTGCTCGGGGACTTTCTCTCGCTTTACAACGTTGCAACTCCACTGTCAACACGGCGTGAGCTTTTGGTCGATCTGCAGAAAAATATGGATGACTGCCACAGCCTCATCCAGCTAGCCGGTGACCTGCATCGAGTTGCCCATCAAGCTGAGGGCTACATCTTCCTGGCGCAGCTCTGTGCTCTGCAGCGATCACACATAAAAGATATAGCGGATGCTGAGCGTCGGCTTACCGAAGGCTGCGAAGCTCTAGATGCTGCCGAGCAACTTTGTAGGCAGTATCCAGGCCAAACCCAGGGGTTTTCGGAAGAGATTGAGAGCGCCAAGGCGATGTTAAGAGGCTCAACATTCTATAGCGCCGTCTCCAACGAAGAACGAATGGCAGTGATCACGGCCATGAACCGCGAATTCATGGGCATTGGCCACTGGTACTATTGTCCAAACGGGCATCCATTCACGATCGGCGAATGTGGAGGGGCGATGCAAGTCTCAACGTGTCCCGAGTGTGGTGCCCCAGTTGGGGGCCAGGGACATCAAACGGTCGACGGAGTTATGCGTGCAAATGACTTGGAAGCGGGACTAGCAAGTCTGAGTCTTGAATGATGTGAGATTAGACAAGGGGATAGTTGAAGTTGTTGGGAATGAGGTAGTTGACTAGCTGTTCTATGTTGCTGATATGTCATCTGTAATGTTAGTGCGCAATAGCCCAGAAAATACCGATAAGAGTAATGAAATATATTGCTTATTATTCTTTACCTAGTTAGGTAGGATTTGGCAAATGATATCATATAAATCGTGAGTCGTGAAGTTCAATGACTTAGGGTGACTTAGGGTGACTCATGTTGGCTCATGTTGATGGCAGATTACTCATTTGCGGGAATCTCTTACCAATCGGGATTCAATCACCAACTTTCAGCAAGTATAAAATAAGCAGCAACCCAACTACAAATCACCTACCATCCATTTCATATTTCGAAGTACATCAGCATGACCACCAGCCGTCCTCACAACATCCTAATCACCGGAGCCTCAGGCTACCTGGGCGGAACTCTCCTCTCCCGCTGGCAAACAGCCCAATTGCCCTCCCACGGCACCGTGTATGCTCTCGTGCGAACTGAGCAACAAAGCCAAGCTGTGCAGCAATACGGCGCGACTCCGTTATACATAAACCTCGATGACGACCAGAGCATTATCCAGACCATCGTCAAGCATGAAATCTCCATCATCTACTTTCTCATCGACGCCGCCAGCGCCCGGACTCAAATACCCATGATCCAGGCTCTGGGCCAAGTGCGCGAGCGCACCGGGAAAACCGTCCATTTCTTGCATACTTCTGGTGCTAAGCTATTCAGCAGTCATGCTGGACATCCGACCGATCGTGCATTCTCGGATGCTGATCCAGGACTGTATGAAATGCAGGAGACTGCGAAGCCGTCGCATCCGTGGCTTGGGCCGGTGAGTGCCATCTCTTTTCTTTATCTTCTCAATTGTTTATATACTTACTGGGTCTAGGCTTTGGAGGCGAATAACACCGTAATCGCTACGGCAGAAGCACATGGAGTACGCAGCTACATCTTCATTCCTTGTGTGGTCTACGGCCCGGGAGAAGGGTTTGGGAACCGCATCTCCATCCAGACGGTCGCGATTGTCAAGGCGGCCCTCAAGGCGAAGCGCGTGTATAGGGTGGATTCGGGACGGCCTGTATGCATTTATTCCTCGTCTTGTTTTGAATCTTACTCTAGCTCAAGGCTAATGTGGCATAGGTCTGGCCCGTCGCTCATATACAGGACACCGTCGGCCTGTATCTGGATCTGCTTCGGAAAATGCTCCTAGAGGAAACGCTGGATTCGGGTCGACAAGGGTACTACTTGGCTGCCTCTGGCACTGTGGCTTGGGATGACTTGTATAGTGCTATGGCACAAAGGCTGGCGGAACGAGGAGTGATTGAGGATGCTACGGTGGGGGATGCCAATGATGCTGTCCTGGAGGAGATAGGCGAGGCGCTGAGTCGTCCGAAGGACTTTGTGCCTGTGGAACTGGGCGGAGGGTAAGTTTCCGAAGAATTGATGCTGGCGAGATGTACTTGTACTGATGTTGGTAGATGTGTGCTGGATGCGCAGCATGGTCGACAGTTTGGCTGGCGGCCTCGGTATGGCCCCGAGCATGCTCTCGCCACGGCAAAGGACGAGGTAGATTGGATCTTGGAGCATCTAGACCGGAGTTAAAAGGTGTTGACACCATGATATGAGCGATTGACCAAGAGTGCTTGAGGGGTTGTACATAGTATTGGTTGTGATACTATTATTACATATAAACTAAATAATTTGAATAAGATGTCTATAACCTAAAACAGCCGAGAAGGGTTCGGAAGTGTATACTAAAGGGTACGCCACAAGGTGGCAAAAGTGTGACTGTGTTAGCCATCATTCTAGGCCTTGGAAAGATCCCCTCTCATGCGATCATAGTTGACCACAGCCTCCAGCAGCGTCTGAGTACCGAGAGCACTACATAGAAGAGTCAGCAACAATATAAGCACAACATCAACAACACACTTACCAATCAGCCGGGCTACAATACTCCTCGGGATGATGACTGACACCCTCCTTGCACGGCACAAAGATCATCGCTGTGGGACAATGCCGACTAGTATAAACACTATCGTGGCCCGCTCCACTAGTCAATTGCATCCATTGGTCCTTTCCGACCAGCTGCGTGGCTGCATCCTGGATAGCGGTGATGCAGTGCTCGTCGAACTTGACAGCCGCAGAATCAGTATCCAGCGTCCAGTCCAGGGAGACGCCCTTGCCGTCCTCCTGCGCAATTTCAGCAAACGCCTCCAGACATTCGTCCTGCACCGCGTGCACCACAGCGTCCTGGGGATGGCGGATGTCCAGGGTGAAGGTCACTTTGGAGGCAACTGTGTTGGTGGAGGAACTGCGAGGCAGCTTCATCACACCCGTGGAGGCGAGTGCGCCATGTCGTTTGGCAATGGCATTGGAGGCCACGATCATCTTGGACGCAGCGAGAACGGGATCCCGCCGCGCTGCCAGGGGTGTCGTTCCGGTGTGGGCATCACGACCACCCACCGTTATGGTGAACCACCGGTATCCCTGCGCTCCACGCACGATACCTACAGACTTGCCCGCCTCCTCGAGGATAGGTCCCTGTTCGATGTGGAGCTCGAAATGAGCACCGAGCGGATATCCAGTAGCTGAGTCATGGGAGCAGGCCACCGAACCGAGGAAGCCGTGGCGCTCCAACTCTGAGCGCAGGGTCACGGCCGGGTTGAAGATGTCTGTCAGTCCCCAGGCTTTTTCTAGGGGGATTTCTCCAGCCCAGACACCGGAGGAGCACATGGACTTGGGGAACCGAGCACCTTCCTCACTGTGTGCCAGTGGTTAGAATGATGGTGTAACATCAATGAGTATGCAGGAGTTAAGACGTACTTGGTCCAGTTAACCAATCCGATGTCAAAGTTGGTTCGGAATCCATTCTCCTTCATGGTGCGCAATACCTCCAGGGCTGCGAGAACACCCAGAATCCCGTCATAGCGACCACCTCGGGGCTGAGTGTCGAGATGGCTGCCCATGGCCGTCATAGGCGCGGGAGAGCCCAGGGACCCTCGCTGTCTGGCAAACATGTTGCCCATCTGGTCGACCGTCACTGTACAGTCCAGCTTCTCAACTTCTTCCCGCAGCCAATGGCGCACTTTGGCATCCTCGTCAGTCAGGCATAGTCGAGCCATACCGGTCTCTGTCGAACCTCTGCCATTCAGTGGTCAGCTTGTATATTCCATCTCAACAGAGACTGGGGAAGTTTCCAACGGGCGCATCACTTACTCGCCGTAGCGATGGGCAGCTCCCCATTCACATGTTTGATGGAGAGTCTCCATGAGGCGATCCGAGTTGATGCGAAGGCCTGAACCCGACGCGGTGGACAGCCAACGGCGCCAGGCCGGGCGCGACAACTGGCGGGTAAGTGTACGGCCAAACATCTTCGGAGCGTAGAGGCGCAGCTGTAGTAGTTACTGGACTCTACCAGTTTGCTGGTACAGGTCGAGTCTTATACCCAGTACGAAATACATTGCTTTCGAAACGAGGGAGGAATTCCGTTTCCGGGTTTGCCTCTGCGCCTTCTGGGGACAAGTAAAATGAGGGTTTGTCGCGAGAGGGCGCATCCCTTCTCGGCAACCGGGAATGAAGGCCTTTTCCCCGCCCGTTATATATGGAAGCGCACCATCCAGTCAGTGGGATAGATGATAAATTCAGAAAGAAATCCCATCATAATGTCCACTTTCCGCAGGCCGATCTACGTGAATCCCAGCTCGTCCACGACCACCTCGGCGGCCTCCCCGGGGGCGTTGGCCTTCCACCAACAATTCCCCGGCTATGCGCCGAGCCCGCTGGTGCCGCTGCCCGCTGTGGCTGAGGAACTAGGAGTGCGTGCTGTCTACCTCAAGCAGGAGAGCAACCGCTTCGGTTTACCCTCTTTTAAAGTCCTGGGGGCCTCCTGGGCCATCTACCGGGCCATCCGCTCGTTTGTACAGTTACCAGAGGGTACACCACTTGACACCTTGATCGAGCGGGTGCGCGCACAGTCCGCGCCGATTACCCTGCTCGCGGCCACCGAGGGCAACCATGGCCGTGCTGTGGCTCGCGTCGCCCGGCAGATGTCGCTCCAATGTCACATCTACGTCCCATGCACGATGCACGCCTACACTCGGGAAAAGATCCGCTCCGAGGGAGCCGAAGTCAAAGTGGTGGACGGGGACTATGACCACGCCGTCGAGACCGCTGCCAAGGCCGCCAACCAAATGTCCCAGGGCATCCTGGTGCAGGATACGGCGCTAGAAGGCTACGAAGAGATCCCAGCCTGGGTGGTGGAGGGCTATGCCACCTTGCTCCAGGAAGCCGACGCCCAGCTGCACGCCCTGGGCCTGCAGAACAGCCTCGTCGTCGCCCCGGTGGGCGTGGGCTCCTTCGCGGAAGCTGTCGCCACATACTATAAGTCGCGCGACACGCCCGCCACCGTCGTGGCCGTGGAGCCGGATACAGCGCCTAGCCTGACGCACAGCTTGCAACAAGGCCATCCAAGCTCCGTCATCACTAGTCCCAGCATCATGGCCGGCATGAACTGCGGCACGGTATCGTCCGCCGCCTGGCCCCTGCTGCGGCAGCTAGTCGACGTTAGTCTCACCATTTCGGACTGGGAGAGCCACTGCGCCGTGCAAGACCTGGCTGCCCAATCCATCGACTCCGGTCCTTGTGGTGCTGCTTCCCTGGCTGCCATCCGCCGGCTGAAGGCGGAGGCTTCACCGACCTCGACTTTCTTTTCCCCAGATTCCGTCATCCTGCTCCTCAGCACGGAGGGCTCTCGTCCCTACGGGGTCCCAATGGATGTCTCCGTGGATGATCCGGTGGCACTGACACAGGTGCTCACGCGGATCAACTCCTCCAATCCCACGTTGTCCAAGACACAGGGCGCTGGAGAATCGGCCATCACCAACTACCTCTGTGCCTGGTTCGCCCATCGTGCCATCGAGCACCATCGCATCGAGACGGCGCCCGGACGACCTTCGGTGGTGGGCATCATCCGCGGCTCCGGCGGAGGAGCGTCCGTCATGTTGAACGGACATGTCGATACAGTCAGTCTGACCACCTATGATGGCGATGCGCTCACAGGCCATCTGGGGGTGAAAGATGGAAAGGAGGCCGTGTTTGGTCGCGGCACGTTGGATATGAAGGGTGGTCTGGCGGCCGGGCTCTCAGCCCTTCTCGTGGCCCGAGAGCAACGACTGGCTGGAGATGTGATGGTCGCAGCGGTAGCAGACGAGGAAGATGCTTCGCAGGGCACCCAGGACGTGATTGCGGCAGGCTGGCGGGCTGATGCGGGGATCGTCCTCGAGCCGACTAACATGGCCATCGCGCACGCGCACAAGGGCTTTGTGTGGGTAGAAGTGGAGATCTTGGGCCGAGCGGCCCACGGGTCCCAGCCAGCCGATGGGGTGGACGCCATCTTGAACATGGGGCACCTGCTCCAGGCATTGCGTGAGTATCAGACGCAACTGCCCATTGACCCGGTGCTAGGACCGGGGTCACTGCACTGTGGAGTCATCCAGGGCGGAGAAGAAGTCTCCTCGTACCCTGCCAGCTGCACACTGACTCTGGAATACCGCACTGTGCCGGTGCAGACCAATGAGATGATCCTGGCTGAGCTGGGTGCCATCCTAAAGCGACTAAGTGACGAGCATCCCGACTTCCAGTATCGAGAGCCGCGCATCACGCTATGGCGCCCCAGCCAGCATGTTCCCAAGGATCATCCCGTGGTGCAGCAATTGGTCCAGCTGGGCACCGAGGTTGTCGGACAACCTCCCCGGGTCCAAAGTGCTCCGTTCTGGTGTGATGCCGCATTACTCACTGAGGCAGGGACCCCAAGCGTGGTGTTTGGCCCATTGGGGGCAGGCTTGCACTCGCGCGAAGAATGGGTGGAGGTGGACAGTATGCGGGAGCTGCGGGAGATTCTGGGGCAGTTTATCCAGCAATTTTGTAAATAGATAGAGACAACATGGTTAGGCACTATGTACACGTGGAGGAGAGGATATAGAGAGTGAAAGAATAGACCTGAAAAATCCTTGAGCAATTGTTGTTGATGATATGATCCAGTACTTACTAACATCGGGGCGAAGTTGGTGGAGATTAGTCATGTGGTGACTCAAAAGCCTTGTCTATCAGGCCAATCACCGGCTGAATTCATCGACTTCCCCCCTAAACATAGAAGGCGGTGAAATAAGCTACCCTTTTCTGTCCCCGCCTTCCCAAAGGGTAGCCTTTCCCTTCTTCTCCATCTCCTCCTCCATCTTCTCCTCTTCCTTTTTATGTGTAACTTCCCTGCTCTCTTGTCTTGTGGACTGCCTTCTATGCCTTCACTATGGCATTCCCCATAGTCCACTCTTCTTAAATTTTTCTTCAGGCGGCTCGTCCCCAGCTTACCTCCCTCCCCACGTCATGGCCAACTCCTCCGACGCTCCCCCACCATCCACCGACGACGACCACTGGGCGCAATGGCTGCCCTCCGTCTTCCCAGATGCCCTCCCGGGCGTGGTAGACACGGAGGCTCTCTCATCTATGACTCCTCAGTTGCAGGATGACTGGAGCTCACTGGAGATGTTTTCCAGCGACAACCTTTGGTCGACGCAGCCGGATTCCACTAACGACACAACGATCATTTCCCCGCCCGATGACTTTGTCAATGTCTCTCAGTGGCTCGCTGGCGCATATCGTCCCCCTGTCCCCTGCATGTACTGTCAACAGCACCGACTGCAGTGCCTCATCATTCGCACCACCCCGGCCAATCCGAACCCCGTGACATCCTGTTCCAGTTGCGTCGCCCTCTTCCGCGAATGCAGCCTCGCCCGCGGCGAGAAGCGCCACCCTGCCGGCTTCGAAACCGTCTTTCCCGTATTCAATCATATGCATGGCGTCACCGAGTGGACTAGAGAGGAACTGAATTCTACCTCACACGCATTATCGGATTCACAGAATGGCCAGGCGCAATCGTCACATGACCAGGAAAGAAAGGAAGAGGACGGACAGCACAGGCCACGGTTTTCCCGAAAAGGTGCCAAAGTATTGCGGGATTGGTTCTATCGGAACCAGCATGCTCCGTATCCCACAGATGAACAGAAGGCAGCATTTGCTCAGCAGACCGGCCTCACCGAGAAGCAGATCTCCACCTGGTTTGCCAATGCCAGACGGCGCCATCGTATGGTTCACCGCACCTCCCGACCGAGTCAGATCTTCCGCAGCGGCTCCCCAATGCCCATTTCCCGATCGGCGGCCCTGACTCCAATGGAACGCTGGCAGCGATCACCACCAGACCAAGAACCCGTATCAGAGTCGGCTATTCAGCAAGCTATTGCCGCCGCCGGCACTGATGCCGCCTGGGATAATCCCAGCACACCTGGCGGCGCGAGTCCCAGTTCTCACCACTTCGCATCCTCTATTTCGAGTATCGACAGTGAACCGTCGCAGGCGTCGTCCGGGAGCTTCTCATCCGCCTGGAGTCATCAGTCGGAGAGCTTTCTGCCGTTCCCCCTATCGGATGGGCGGCCGCGATCCCATTCCCGTCGCAGACGGCCCAGGCGTCAGTCGGCCGCGGGTAGCCCGTTTCAGTGTACCTTCTGTGTGGATGCGTTCAGGAAAAAGCATGATTGGGTCCGTCATGAAAAGAGCGTACACCTGTCGTTGGAATCCTGGATCTGTAGCGTGGGATCGGGCGTTCTGGATCTGGCTGGCTCGGAGGTATTACAATGCGATTTCTGCGGAGCCTCTCCACTGACCGAATCTCATTTTTCGACCCATGAGTTCGACGTGTGTGCGGATCGCCCGCTATCAGAACGTTCCTTTCGGCGTAAAGACCATTTGATCCAGCACTTTCGCAAGTTTCATCACTGTACCACGGTCCCTGCCTTACGTGTGGAGGCTTGTCGCGTCGTGACGAATGATGTGCAAAGCCGCTGTGGATTTTGCCAGCTAATCCTGCCAACGTGGGCAGCACGCGCAGATCATTTGGCGGAGCACTTCAAGAACGGACGGCGCATGGTGGACTGGTCAGGTGATTGGGGGCTGGGCCCCTTGCACCAGGCCATGTTGCGGGATGCTGTCCTGCCCGCGGATCGGTCTGCATACGTTGAGGGGGGTTCTTGACCGTCGCAGATACCATCTTCCAGGTATCATAAGCATATAAGCACCATCTGCAAGTGGGCGGTGTTTCTTAGACACCTGACGGTCGGATAGAGCTACTCTTCGGATTTTCGACTCTTCGACAAAAGCGGAGGCCGACCTTCACCTCCGCCGAACTTCCAACCAGATGGCTATACCCAGGCCGAACACATGCAGGCCATTAAGCCATCTAGGATTGGCCCCCAGTGGGGATCTCGCCCTGGGTGAAGATACGACTCAAGGTCTACTTGAACGGAGCTCTCTCTTTGATTCTTACATGTGCAGGAGCACTAGACTGGAGTTTGCTCTCGACTGTCAAATGCGTCGGATACTATCAAGAGATCAGCCTGCTGCACGTTCGCGGCATGTCTTGATCAGCCTGTCGCGCCACTGATGCCGGCCAAAAAAATTGTGTACACTTTTGGTCTCGACCTGAAGGTATTCTAGCGTAGAGCAGGACCGTGGAGGACGTAGAAAGTATCTCATTATGGAGCTGTAAGAGCCGTGTGATAGTTTATGCATAGTATACAATCCCAATTATGGTCCAAGCGCAGCGACTATATAATAGACAATTCCTAATGGCTGGCAAGTGGACCGTTTTTTTTTTTTTTTTTTTTTTTTTTTTTTTTTTTTCTTTTTCCCCCATAGTGATGACACTAGCATACTCTGTTTGAAGAAATATGGTATTTCCGACCGCTGAATTCTCATGTGGTGAAACGAAAATACTGCGTTTCTTACATATATACAAGTGTTCTAACAGAGTAACATGGATAGTAATACACAGAGAAACTTCTGAACTGTTGATCCAGAGTTATTTGAAGTTCTGCCTTTGGTTATTACTAGTACCACTGCTTGTGCCGACGGTTAGAAATGGAAAAATATATAATAAACTACTATGGGACAGTTGCGCTATTTCTCTTCGCACGCTCGTCTGGCAACTAGTATAGAACAACACTAGGTATGATACTTAGCAGCAACTGGTTCTCACAAGAATATAATAGACCCGGTACTTTGCTACTACTTCTGCTTACAATGAATACCACACCACAGTGATGGTTTTCGATCGGGTAATCATATTGCCGGGCTATGCGGGATTCCGCCCCGAAAACCAGCTATGTGCTGGCTAATTACGACCCTAAAGCAACCTGGGGACTCACACCCACAGCAAACGGAGGCCAGAATTTCAGATCTATTGACGCATCATTGACTGCATCATGCATCATGCATCCCAGCCATCCAGGCAAAATCTTCGTATATACATTTGTCTACTGGAAGAATATATCACACACAAAGGGGCACACCCCTAAGGCCCCCGCAGGGGGTATGCTTTTGTACAGAACCATGAAGAGAAGAGGTATCGTGCAAGAGTCGTCATCATGAAATCCGCATCACTTTCTTCAGCCCGCGCAGGGACACGGGCTTGACCAAATACTCATCCACCCCCGCCGACAGCGCTTGTTGCTGGCGGTCTGCCGACCCCAAGCCCGTCACGGCGATGATACGCGAGCGAATGAGGCCGTTCTTCTTTTCGTATCGTCGGATGTGGTCCGTCGCGACGATGCCGTCCATCACGGGCATCGAAATATCTGTCGCATATGGTCAGTTGCAGTCTGGGTGCCGAGACACGGAGAGATGTCTTACCCATCAAGATGAGATCGTGGCGCCGAGTGGCTTCCTTGTACGTGTTCAGGGCGAGTAGTCCGTTGGAGGCAGTGTCATAGCTGCAACCAATCTTCCGAATGAACGTTGCCAGAATCTATGAACCAGGATTAGTCATGGCATGCAAGAACGTTGGCAGGATTCTCGACAAACCTTTAGATTGATGTCGTTGTCATCTACGATGAGAACATGTATGTCCTTGGGAGCTTTACTGGGAGGATGAGAATGCGCAGGCTCCAGCGGCGTACAGGGGGAGGCGAAATCGATGGCCGAATCTGGGGCACTCGGCGGCGTCAGACTAGGCGACGGGGACAGGGAGGGCTGCAGTGGCATCGGTGCCGGCCGCAACGGCGGGCGATTGAGCGCAGCCTCACGTGCTAGAGTCTGCACCCGCCGGATAGCGTCGTCAAATTTCTGGGGTCCGAATCTATTCTACTGTTAGTCTGGATAAATCACGAAAGGGTGTTATTAAGGTCGACGTACGGCTGAGATACCCGAACAACATTTGGAGCCAGCGCCTCGATTTGCGGCAGAGGCTTGTTGCTATCCAGTACGATAAAGTATTTGAACCCGCGCTGCACCATCGAGTCAAGGGGGGATGGTTTGTCTGGCGTAGGGTGCAAATCACCCTGCTCAACTACAGCCACGTCGCCCTGCGCGCGGTCCAAGGATTCGGCCAGTGCCAGTGTCCAGCCCGGTTGCTGAACGAGCACCGAAGTCAGCGAGCTCCGAATGGCCAGCTTGCGTTTGGCTTCGGCCGGCAGGATGCCCGTGGGGATCTCCCGCGGATTGGGATAACCGTCAAATCCAATCAGGCAGGCTGCCATAGGCGGCAGCGGCGTGGCGAGTTCGTCCGGGCTGCCGCGACGGGATGCCTGCGCCGCGCTAGGATGCACGGGGATATAGATGTCAACCTGTGTGCCCACGCCGACTTCGCTGCGTACGTCGATGTGGCCTTCTAACGAGGCAACCAGCTGGCGCACAATGCTGAATCCCAGCCCAAGACCCTCCGATAAAGCGTCTTCCTGCGTGAAAGGAGAGAAGAGCTTGTGTCGGAGGAAGTCTGGACTGATACCCGAACCCGTATCAGTGACCGACAGATGCGCCAAGACTGTGTGTGGGTTGGACTCGCGGCGGGCCTTGGAGAGGGACACCTCGACAAAACCTGCCTTGGTCCACTTCAACGAATTGCCCAGCAGGTTCATCACGATGCGTCGCCAGGCACCAGCTACCGACTGTATCCTCCACGTGCTCCGCTCCTGTACACGCACCACGACTGTGAGTTCCCCATCCGGCCGTGTAGAGGTCGGCTGCGCTGGGCGTCCCGTCAAGGGAGCCACCGCTTGGGCCAATCGCTGGCCCGTGTACTGAACATCCGTGACTTCTTCGATGAGGTCGTCGAGGTCGAACACGGTTAGAAGGTTCGTCACGCTGGGTTTGGACTGGTCGGGGCTGGCCTCCTCAGTCGTCGTCAAGTTGTTGATCTTGGCGAAGTCCAAGCTGTTTGTGATTTAGCAGGGGGTAGTCTGGTAATTCATAAACGGGCCAAGAAACTTACAGGTGGTTCAAGGTGTCCAGCAGAGTCAATCCACAGCTCTTGACCATGTTCATCCAATGCGCCTGACTCGAATGCAGCGGGGTTGTCTGCAGCAGTTCTGCGCTGGCCAGGATGCCATGCAGTGGCGACCGCAGCTCATGGCTAACGGAGGAGATGAAATCCGACTTGGACTGCTGGGTGCTGGCCCAATCCACGCGGGCCACCTCGGAGATGATAGAGTCTCCGAACACTTTAAAATAATGTAGCTCGTCGACGCCCAGCGCGCGATTGCTGGCCTGGGTCCAGACCAAGGTACCCGCCAGCCAGCGTGATTGATTCCAGTCCCACAATGGGTAGAAGAGCACACAGTAGGCATCGGGTAGATGCTGGCGCAGTCGACGGCAGATGTTGGACATGGTATGATCTCCTTCCGACCGCTCCTCTAGCGAAGGCGACAGAGATTGACCACCCTCCTCGTCAATCCAGTCCTGCAGATTGAAGAACTGACCATGGGGGAAGGCGGCGATCATCTGGTTGAGAAGAGCCTCCGTGATGGGTTGATTGGCGCTCACCTCATCCTGTTGGGCGCTTCCTAGCACCTCACACGGCTTTTCTGATATGTTGGAAAGGGAGCCCACGCCGGGCAAGTCGACCGGACTGGGGTAGGGATCGGCGAGGAACTCGGGATTGGCGGTGGTGGGGAGAGGCTCCCAGGACCCGGGCAGGCCGGGGCGAACACTGCTTGTTTCGTTAATACGCCTCTGCAATCCTTGGGTTGGACACGGTACTCACACTCCGGCGTTACACCGACTGGCATCCAGGAACACCACACCATCCAGATCCATCGAGTCGCGCAGGGTGAGGCTGGCGCGGGTGAAGATGCGAAATAGGCTTTCGGAGCGGGCCTCGCGTTCGATGACGGAGACAACCGGATATTCGGTGTGGTCGGACACCACGACGCTGGAATCGTGCGTCTCCGATCCGTCGGGCGGAAGAGCCTCATCTGGGACCGCGACCGGGACGGGGCGTGGACCTGGTACGTTGACGGAGGTCGAGGTGGCGGTGACCTCGGAGCAAGTGACGGCGGAGAATAAAGAGGCCAACTCGCCCGTCATTTCGGAGGATGCAGACTGGAGCTGCGTGGGAGGCTCTCGCAGCGGGTCGTCAGTTAACGACAGAGGCTGCGGGGGTGCCGGCTCGGTGCTCGGCACCAGCGTAGTCGGCCCGTGGCTAGGGCCAGGCACATCGGTCGGGTCGAAGGCGGGATGGTCTTTCACGAAGCTGGTCAGACCCTTGACCAGGCTCTCGGCGCGGCGATGCGAATGGGAGATGCGAACGTGTTCGAGGTGCTGGGTGACGGCATCGGCCACCTCACGCAGGGAGGCGATCTCCCGATCCCCAAAGACGGAGCGAGGCTTGTCGTCGATGACGCAAAAGGAGCCGAGAACATGACCGGCGGGACTGTACAGCGGGACCTCGGCGTAGAAGCGGAAATAGGGCCATCCGGTGACATAGGGACGATCTTTGAAGAACTCCTCCTGGGTAAAGTCTCGGACGACGTAACGGGAGGTATTGGCGGTCACGTTGATGGAGTCGACGACCTTGGAGGGATCCTGCCCGGTGAACAGGGCAATGGAATGAGGACAGACCCCCCAGACCAGGTCGAGGGTGCGGACCCCCAGGTAGATGCCATCATCGGGGTCATGCTGATCCTTATCGCGCAAGGAGATGGATTTGGTGGCTTCGGCGATCAAATATTGATTGGAGCCGTCGATGATGGAGATAAAGG